TTTTTTTTCAAAAAAAAAAAAAAAAAAAAAAGACTATTTCAAGCAAGTAGTTTTGTAGTTATCAGTTTACTCATTCCATTGCAGAATTGAATACAATTTGGTTCCTAAATTCCTTTTTGGGCAGGCAAATGATTCAGATTAATTTCAAGTAGCAAGGAATAAACTGTTTAACTAATAGCCAGCAGATATTTTCCAAAAAGTCCCCTATTTTTCTTCACATATATTTCTGTAATGTCAACTATCTTTTTCATTTTGATATCAGCCTACGTAGTTAAAAATTACTGTTATTTTATAAAGCTCAATTAAAAATATGTTCTTTCAAAAGCTTAATTTTGTTCACGTCTCACTAAATTTCATACAGATGTTCCCACAGGTAACTCTGAAAGGCTTTCTTCATGTTTGTAGTTATTGTTCAACAGTCCAATTCTAGAATATATTCTATTATATGACATATCACTTTATTCTAAATTATGTTAAATATCAAAGATTTCATAAATAAAATATTAGTCAGCCTCCTATTTAAAAAATCTTAACATTTCCCCCCCCATCTCTAATATAGCACAGACTTGCAGAAAAAACTGATTGAGGATATTTTGAAGCTGTAGGATATCACCACAATTACAGTCAGACCAAGTGTCTCCTTTCAAGGAAAAATGATGACTTAAAAATAATAACACATAACTACTTTTCCTTTTACCCTTTCTATAATGCCTTCCAGTTTCAGTGAAATGAATAAAGCACTTTGCCTTCAAATCTTTTTGTAATACCATTATGATACTGTGGCTTTCAAACTTGTTATCTGAAGATCACCTCTGTACACGCTCCTCTGGTTTGGACAAAAAACAAAAACAAAACCCCAAACTGTAGCAGGAATAAAGAAGGGACTTACCCGTAGTTCTGGAGGGTGCCAGCTGGGTTTAACCCACTATTGAAGGGAAGGAAGAGGCATCCCCTTCCCTCACAGACTAATCTAGTGGCTCTGTGCTTAGTATTATAGCACCACTGACTTTTATCAGCTGCCAAGCAGTGACATCTGATGTGCTCGCCTGTCCATCTACCTATGCTGGCATGTCAAAGTAAGAGTCCACAATCTAAACAATATCTCAGATGTCCCAGTGATATTTAAGGAGTGGGATTACATGAGCTTTTCTCCCAGGCCTCTTTATTTTAGATGTGAATTTTGATTATGAGCTTTAGCAAGCTCATGTAGGGGGAAGAGCAAGGAATTTGGAAATGGGAAAAAATACAAAGAAAACTCAGTTTCTTTATCGTAGTGGGGATTTTGTGAACCTTCTTGTTGAGGAAAGAGGGAGTAAGTCCCTTCATATGTTCTAAGACTGACGTTCTATCTCGGAAGACTTCTCCAGAAATAAGACCAGTGGTGGATGGGCTCCAAATTGATTTTACTCGATGGTGGTTCATCTGAAGACTCCCCCCCTCAATTGGGGTGGGGGTGGAGCTGTGTTCAAGCAGTTTGTTTCAAGAAAGGGGTGTGGTCTCGGTAAAGGCTGCCGAGCAGGTGACATGTCCCTGGGAAGGTGGGTTGGTGGAAAAACAGGATATGGTTTGTTTAGCAAGTTTTCTGAATCTGTATGGTGTATGCCTCCTTGACCCTGTACTTTTATTCTAACGGTTTGAAACGCTTAAGAAACTACCAAAGAAGCAATCTATACAGTTAGGGCTCTGCACTGTCACCTCTCTTTCCTTCATCTTCCTTACTACTAACACTAAGGAGACCATCTTGGTATTTAGGTTTCCTTTTTTTGTGCAGGGAAGTAAATAATTACAGAGGAAGAAACCTTCAAATCAACAAAAGAGGTGGTGGGGAAGGTTAGGTAGCATGAGGATCAGGCCAATGAAGTGAAATTGTCTCCACAGGTGGCTTCGGTTTTGATACGATTCTACTGCTTAGAGCATGTCTGTTTATTCCCCTCCCTCATGGGTACTCCAAACTTGATTTAATTACCATGTACATTAGGGTCCAATAAACAGATGTTTGAGCACATGTGAATATAAAATTCTTCACAGCTGACTATGTAGGTATACCTTCCTTTTATGTTCTAGAAGAAGTTTAATAATTGCTGCCTGGGCATGCAGCCATTACGTACTAGAAAAAGCACACTAGACTCAATGAGTAGGTATTTGCCTACAAAATCTTACTTCAGGAATTTCCCAGAATATTTCTCTGTATCTGCTCACTGATATTTCAAATTCCAGTGAAAGGGAAAAGCCTTTTCATCCAAATTAGAAAGACTTAAAATGTAAATGCAAGTGACAATAAGAATAATAAAAATAACCAACATGTATAGCATTTTCTATGAGTAAGGCACTATTCTAAGCACTTTAAATGTGGTGTATGTAACTGATATTTGGTTCTTCCTGAGAACAGGGTTTGATTGGGGCAAGGAAGAGGAGATACTAGATTTGAGGTTTCTTAGTACCTAAAAGTTTGAGATATGACCTAACAGCCAAGTAAGGAAGATGCCCAGGAGAAACTGTTAAATTGTCAATCTTTATTTTAATTTTTTAAAAATATATTTTTATTGATTTCAGAGAGAGGAAGGGAGAGGGAGAGGAAGAGGGAGAGGGAGAGAAACATCAGTGAGGAGAGAGAGTCATTGATCGGCTGCCTTCTGCACAACCTCTGCTGGGGATTGAGCCTGCAACCTGGGCATGTGCCCTGACTGGGACTTGAACCCTGATCTCCTCGATCATAGGCTGATGCTCAACTGCTAAGCCACACCAGCCAGGCTAAATGATCAATTCTAAATGTACCATAGTCGAGGCAGAATTTTACTTTCATTTATTCTCTTTTTCTGAGAATTAAAACAAGTTATTTGAGTTAAACCAAGGATATGCCTAGAAGCAAGATCTCAATAGACTGAGAAAAATGCTTCCTAGTTCCATTAACCCTTTATCTTTTAAGCGCATCCTTTATTCCCTAGGTCTTCGTAAGGTGTAACATGGGTTACAGTGTGGTACCTCTGTGGTACATCTAGGCTAAGGTTCTTACAATAAGCGGATTAAGGGATAAATTGGGAAACATAAGTAAAGTCCTCTTTTATGACACCATTCTCAGAAGTTAAAGGTCTGTATTTAATAATTATGGATCTGTTTTTCTACTTTTTTTTTTAATATGTCTTTATTGATTTCAGAGAGAGGAAGGAAGAAGGAGAGAGAGAGAGAGAAACGTCAATAATGAGAGTCATTAATTGGCTGCCTCCCGTACGCCCCCAACTGAGAATCGAGCCCGCAACCTGGGCATGTGCCCTGACTGGGAATCGAACCTCGATCTGCTGGATCCTAGGTTGATACTCAACCTCTGAGCCACGCCTGGCTGGGCTGTTTTTCTACTTTTTAATGTTTGGTTTGCTTTCTTGAATATTTTATGTTTTCTCACAAATATGGCTATTTTAATAGTTTAGTTGCTTATTTGAGAAAAAAATCATAAAATGGAAAGAATCATTAAGATGTCAGGTGGGGCCCCAGCCAGTTTGGCTTAGCGGTTAGAGCGTCCGCCCATGGACTGAAGGGTCCTGGGTTCGATTCCGGCCAAGGGCACGTACCTTGGTTGTAGGCTCAGCCCCGGTTGGGGCATGTGCAGTAGGCAACCAATTGGTGTGTCTCTCATATTGATGTTCTCTCTCTTTTTTTAAAAAGACATGTCTTTATTGATTTCAGAGAGAGGAAGGAAGAAGGAGAGAGAGAGAGAGAAACGTCAATAATGAGAGTCATTAATTGGCTGCCTCCCGTACGCCCCCGACTGAGAATCGAGCCCGCAACCTGGGCATGTGCCCTGACTGGGAATCGAACCTCGATCTGCTGGATCCTAGGTTGATACTCAACCTCTGAGCCACGCCTGGCTGGGCTGTTTTTCTACTTTTTAATGTTTGGTTTGCTTTCTTGAATATTTTATGTTTTCTCACAAATATGGCTATTTTAATAGTTTAGTTGCTTATTTGAGAAAAAAATCATAAAATGGAAAGAATCATTAAGATGTCAGGTGGGGCCCCAGCCAGTTTGGCTTAGCGGTTAGAGCGTCCGCCCATGGACTGAAGGGTCCTGGGTTCGATTCCGGCCAAGGGCACGTACCTTGGTTGTAGGCTCAGCCCCGGTTGGGGCATGTGCAGTAGGCAACCAATTGGTGTGTCTCTCATATTGATGTTCTCTCTCTTTTTTTAAAAAGACATATCTTTATTGATTTCAGAGAGAGGAAAGGAGAGAGAGAGAGAGAGACAGAAACATCAATGATGAGAGAGTCATTGATCGAGCCCGCAACCTGGGCATGTGCCCTGACCAGGAATCGAACCCTGATGGCCTGGATCCTAGGTCGACGCTTAACCGCTGAGCCACGCCCGCCTGGGCGATGTTCTCTCTCTATCTCTCTCCCCCTCTTCCACTGTCTCTGAAAAGCAATGGAAAAATATTCTTGGTGAGGAATAAAAAAAAAGATGTCAGGTGGGTGAACCATATTGCAACCTGCCCCCAAAGACAACTTTTTCCCTTTCTTTCTCTAAATGACCAGTAAGGGTTTCTGGTAAATCATTCTAATGCCTCACGCAGTGTAGGTAGCATCCTGTTATTTCCTGCTGCATGCTAAGGGAATTCCTTCTTGTCTTATCGTCAGTGGAAGGGTAGCTGTTTAGCTGTCCTCCATTCATCCCTTCTTCATATACAGCTCTTGTTTTTTAAAATGTGAAGTATACGTACTATTGTAAAGATGCTTCTGTGAGCTTCTTCTGAAGTCAGAGGTCTGGTGTGTGTGATGATGCTAATTTCTGCTGTATCAACTGAGAAGGAAAATGTCACATTGAAGATGGAGGGACTAAAGAGTGAAGAATGTTTTATTTATTTCCAGGTTATACGTAATTCACTGTGATTACTGAAGTTCTGCATAGACATATAGTGAAAGGGGATCCTGCTGTCACACTTGTAATTTGAAATATCCATTCTAGCACCCGACTCAATCTTATGTTCTTCTCATGTAAGAAATAATAATGCACACTGCACTGGGTTTGGAGTCAAACAGGAAAAGTGGTAACGTTAATTTGGTTAATGTTCTACAACTTTCTAGACAAACTAACCTTTTTATTTTGAAGACCCAAGTGCTAATGACCACTCTACCACATACTTACTGTGTAACCTTAGACAAGCTGCCTAAACTCTCTGAGCTTTAATAATTAACTGGAAACACAAAGATAGTATCTGTTATACTAATCTAAATCAGAGGTTGCTGAGAGACTCAAATAAAACAGGAAATCATACAGTGGACTATTATGTGGTATATCTCCTACATTAGGTTAACTTTTTTTCTGTGGGAGGGAATGTTTATTATATATTTATATTGCCTAGGACAGTGTAGCTCATAATAGACTCTGAAAAAACTTGTTAACTTTTATAGAACTTTTACCCAATAATTTCCCCCACAGAAGATTTTGTTGATGATAAAGATGGTACTCTCCTGTAAAAGACAGTATATTATAAATTCAAGGTCTTTTTAAGTCCTAAACGCTCACTACTAAAAACAGGTACTCATGTAGAAAAATTTTTAGATAATTATTATTGGCCATCTTTCCAAGACAAGTCTAGCACAGAAACTGATAAACACATAGAAAGTGTTTAATAAATGTTAAATAAATTATAGTCTTATTCATTGACCCATATGCCCATTCTTACTTGACCCCATGAGAAATCTTTTTTTTTTTTTAATATATCTTTATTGATTTCATAGAAAGGAAAGGAGAGGGATAGAGAGGTAGAAACATCAATGATGAGAGAGTCATTGATCGGCTGCCTCCTGCAGGCCCCAGAGCCCACCACCCGGGCATGTGCCCTGACCGGGAATCGAACCCCAATCGCCTGGATCCTGGGTTGACGCTCAACCGCTAAGCCATGCCCGGCCGGGCGAGAAATCTTTATTTATAGANCCTGACCAGGAATCGAACCCCAATCGCCTGGATC